TTTTTACATATATTAGCAAGCACATAAATATACATTAGTTATGTCTACGATTGTACATGGCGAAACTTTTTTTCAAATATGCGAAAAAAATTTTAGTAATAAGATTTCAAAATTGAAAACAAAAGAGATATAAAATATTAAGGTAAAAATATCATTACGAATATATTTGGGATATTAACAGGATAATTTAGGATAATAACAGGATGAGAATGTCAATTATTTTTCATATATTTTCTCATAGATATGTTTGAGAATTCAAATTTAAATCAATAGATATAACCCGGTAATTATCATTTTGTATGCACTTGTACATTTAATTCTATCGTTACTATTGGTATTCGCTCAATTGGTATTCGCTTTGATCTAAACTATCTCGCAAAATATATATATCATATATATAATCATTATTTAAATAACATTATTTAAATAATCAATAAATATGCGAATTTGCTTATCTGTGGAAGGAGCAGCTGATTTTTAAATGTATCAAACAAACAGATTAAGAATTATTTCCTACAACTTTATCATTTAAATACAATGACGATCCCAAATCATAACGCGTCCACGTCTTGCGTGAGTTATATAAAATGACGATTTAATGCATGGACATTTCACCATGCTGTCACGACGAAAATGTATATAAGCGAAAAATTTGTGTATGACATACACATATATGTTATATACACAATGATATTAAACTATTGAAAAAACTATTTAATCTTTATTATTAATTCTTGACATTTGATGATAAATTTATAGTTTATCTTTTTACGATATGAAAATTGTAATTGTGATTTTATAAATATTATCATCAGAATTTATAAAAAATGAAATAATTTCTTTATAATAATCTTTAAACTTGTGTTTATTTATTTGTTCGTATATGTTATAATGTGCCAAAGTGATTGACTTTGTTGAGAAAAATCGATAAATCTTTTTAGAGTAAGCGCGCGCGCTTGTCAAAGCTATTTGAAATAATTAAGATTTAGTAGTTATGTGGATCGTGATTCGACTGGATATTTGTCGAACAATCTTCGAAGGAGATGTTCCTGCAAAAAAAATCTGTCAATCTAATTGATAATCGATTGTGTTTGTGTTCGAAATTGAGAGTTTATAGCAGTTTCTTGACAAAAATGGATAGAATGGATGTTCTTTGTTTTTTGTTTCAAACTTTTTATATCTTTCATTTTTTAAAATAATTTTTTATTCTCTTTCGCGACCCAGCCGATCGTGGCTCGGTCAATGAACTTTCTGGAACAATCTCGTTTGCCCTCTGATGTTTTTTACCTTTAGACTTTTTCCTTTTCTTTTCTCCTTGTAATATGAGTATTATAAGAGACGCGACAACAAAAGTCATACCTTTAATTATTCTTCAGTATAATAAAAAATTTTAGCAAAGTAATCTATAATATTAAAATAATTTTTTTTAAATCATGAGAACTCTATGTAATAACTTAAAACTATTTTCATACCAAAAAATAACTTACATAGATTGATTGGTATCAAACAAGGGGAGAAGGGAGGGAGAGAAGGGTGAGAGAGGAAGGAAGGAGGAAGGGAGGGAGGGGGAAGTTGACTTACGTTTACAATGGCCCTTATAAGCGACGGGAACAGCGCGACCCGCGCGGCAGGCGGCAAGCCGCAGGTGGCAGGCGCTCTTGTAGGTATTTCCGTCGGCTCCGCAGACGGGGCGAGCGCCGGCGACCTGGTGCGGGGGCCTGGGGGCACCTGCGGGCGCACCTCACACAGTGAGGGCTCAGGTTCTGGTCCAGTAGACAGCTCCGACCTTGGCCGCATCGGACCCGTGCGCACGAACCTGCTCGACACTTTGTACGTTATTACGCACAGTCGTAAACCGTCTCCGTGATAGATGCATTGCTTTTCTTTATTTTTATTCTCGATCACCTGCCGTTCAGTTTTAACCATAATCGCATAATCCCGTTCACTAGTCGGTTTAACTACGTAGTTAAAGTGATTTTTAGTAGCAATCATAAGATCCAGCGTATTAGATCGAAAATATTGTAATTTATTTTGTTAACATTAATATGACATTATTGTATGTCAATTATTTGCATTTTTAAGATGCTTAAACTTATCCCATTTTTCATCAATATACGCTATTATGTGAGTGTAATTAATATAATGACAAAATATAATACATTAAATTAATAAATGTAAATTTATAAACAACTCGAGATAAAATAATAAGTTGTGTAGTTATAAAATTTACAACATTTAATACATTAAATTTCTTATTCGATATATGAAATCCCATTTTTCGATTTTTGCTTTGACTGCAAGATCGTAAGTGATGTCGTGGAAACTAAGACGCGTTTCGTCATGGTTCATTAATGTTTCGACATGTTATAAGATGAAAATATCTTGCATGTTCAGTCATTAAATCGCCAGATTCAATTGCGAAACAATTACTACATCAGCGAATATCCGTATTGGGAGACCAATCCTATCGGATGTTTCTTTTAGGTCATTTTATTGTGTTTTGTTCGTTTTATTAGCATTTGCGCTCTCATAGTCGACATAATCGTCAGTTCTTCGAAGGAACGATATCGATGTAAGCTAAAAGTTTCAACGTAATGAAGATAAAATATTTGATGGTTTTTTGAAGATTAAAGCAAAACATTTTCACGGCAATACAGAGAGATCAACTTATTTATACATACTCACTTTGGCAGTGGCCGTTGTAGGCAACTGCAAGTTCATGATTGCCCTTCTTGCAAGCTCGCTTTTTAAGTCTACATAGGCTCTTGTAACTTTTGCCATCCGTTCCGCAGACCGGTCCACCACCACGCGGTATTTTACATTCAGGACTGCACACGCATCTCGGTCTTCCTCTACGTACTACGCACTTTTTTCCTTCTTCGCACTTTACTTCCACGCAACTCTCTGTCGAATATAAATGATTTCGTATATGTGTATATTTATGATTATGGAGAACGATTACGTGTTACGTGGTTTGATCGCCGAACCGAATATATAGAAATAGCAAAATTGATAAAGAAATTTTACTTTCCTTTTCTTTGACTGAGATCATTGCAAATGTGCGTGCTTACACACATATCGCATTTTGGATAAACGAGAACGAAGCCAATTTTAATTATTTGATTACCGAAGAAGATAATGTAATTTATTTGTGTACCTCGACAAGGACGACACTGAACGCCTCCACCCAGAACTCTCCAGAAAAACAGACTTCCACTGTCTAAATCTTCTTCTGAATACGCCGTCGCTGCTGCTGCATTAGATGCGCAACAATTTTTCTCTTGTGACACCTTGTGATAGAAGTTCTTTACAACGACCATTACTGATAGACGACCAACATATACCACCTAACACAAATTGTACCAATTAGAATTGTATCAAGTTTAAATTAACATTATGTGTTAAATATCTAATTATGTTAAATAAAAAAATGTATTGTATTAAAAAAAATGGTAACATTATTAATTGATTGATTATATAAATAGATTTTTAAGGATTTAATCTACAAATATATTTTATAGTAGGCTAAAAGTCAAATCCCTCCTTCCCCCTCTCACGTACGCACGCACGCACGCACACAATATAAAATAAATACATTACACAAAATGCTTTTTCATAAAGAAAGCATACTTTTATATAATTGTTTTTTGATTTAGATAGCATATATGCTTTACTTACCGTTATTTATTTAATTGTAATTATTAGTTTTTTTGTCAAGTAATATCCATTTCCAAGGTATGAATCGAACGAATTGTTGAAAAATTTAATATAGCAGAATGCATAAATTACTGGTAAGAATGTTATATAAATCTTTGTAAATGTTATATTATAAACACAAAAAAATTTTGCCTAAATACTTAGATTATATAATAGATAGATTTTATATATAACAAATTGTGTTTCTATGTGTTTTTTGTTTTTATATTTAATTCAGCGATTTTATTCATACCCAATCGTTTTCTAACTAGCAACATAAACTATTAGTAGCAACGTAAACTGTTAGTAGATATTGCCTATTCATGGCCTATTAAACGGTTCTCGCGAACGTGATACGTGAAAGAACTTTACAGTAATTAATACGTATGCTTTACAAAATCATGAATTAGTCCGACATAGATGACATAGTTTACCAAACTTTTTTAAATACAAGCATTCATGAGATGAGCGGGAATTCCTTCAAGCTTAGTTCATAGTTATATATAACAAAGTTGATAGATTTGATGACTATGTTTGTGTTTTATCTTAATGTTACACACGTAGTAAGCACGTAGTAAGTGACGCAAACTTATTTAACATGCATTTTATCGCAGCAACATTTGACCACTTACATAAAATGGCATGTTTTTCCAATTTGTAACTTAAAAATTGAGCTAATATCTCATTTGTGCAATGCTTGCACAAAATACTCACAAGCAAGTGTTAAACGCGTCATTTCACGATATTAATATTTACTTTTCATGATGGATGATTTCATCTCATTTATATATTTGTGTGTTTTAGTTCTCGAGAAATTTAAATTTAAGTGAATTGCCTAAGTAATGTCTGTAACGAAGATACGATTCAACAGTGATGCCCAGGATGAATATTTTAGCAAAATAGCGAAATTCTTTTAATGATTTCTTATTGACATAATCACTATCTTTTTGGAAAGCAAAAAAAACAGTTTTGACCTATATATATAAAATCGCACAAGCTCGTACAATACATGTGATAAAGTTATTTAAAAGTTCATACAATATAACAATAAAAAAATACATAATTCTTTTTAGGTAATTATTAAAAGTATTAGATATGATAAGAATACATGCAGTAACTGTATCTGTGAGATTACAACAATATATCGCTCATAAATATTAAATTAATATATGTTTTTGAGAATCGCACATTTTAACAGATTAGCATACTTTTTAACAGAATAATACAATCGACTCTTGACAGGTTTAAATTACCAAATTAATAAAAAATGTACCAATGCGATTGATTCACATCATCACGTGTAATTACAATATTAGCAATTGACCAACATACATGAATTCATCCATACTATCATAATTTATGTAGTTTTTATCTAAAAATTGGATAATATTTGTTTTTATTTATTTCTATTATTTATTATTTCTATACTATCATTTTTATTATTTGATCGGTAATGTACTTATTATTAAAACTCGAGTTTACGTCTCCTTAATATTTTTATATTTTTTCCGCAATAATAATTATGATTACATATTTATGTTATACAATACAACAATAGCTGTATTTCAAGCAATAAGTATTCTCTATTGTACATATTGTAAATATGTCTTTTCCCTATTCCTTCCTTATTCAATTTAATGATAATTTATTTTTCTTTCTAATTCTTCATTTTTCAATGTAAGGAAAATGTGACAAATCAATTTCTAAATTTGATATAGGGATGAAGTAAGATATGGAAAAAATAAAGATGAAAGAAAGTAGGACAAAAAAAATTGAAAAAAAAGAAAGGAAAGAAAAAATAAAAGAAACGATGAAAAGAGAGCGAGCGAGGGGAGAGAGAGACAAGCGAGAAGAGAGGAGAGACGACATAATGCGGAACGGAATGGTATGGTCCGACATGTCTAGACTGCGATGTAGCCACTGTTTGGCCCAGTTACGTCCTTCCTCCTCTCCTATACTCGTTTTCCAGATCCCTCTCCACTCCTTCGTTGCCAAGTTCTCTCACTCTTTAACTCTTTATAGTTATAACCACTACCACCATTACTACCGTCATGATTCCCATCACCATCGCCACCATTCGTACCACAATCACCACCGCCACCGTCACTACTACCTACAATATCACTATTCCCATTGATACTTTTGCAGTTTACAGGGAGTCATAGGCCATAGTGTACTCCAGCTATATATTATTTAGAGACTTTATTATTTACAAAAGCAAGCTTACGCACAACGAAAGTTTTATCTTTTAATTCTATCTCTTCATTTCTTCTATCTATTGCCTACTATAATTATGTAACGACCAAATTTGTGAAATCCTTTTTACATGGTATCTTGTATATCATAATATATTTTAACTCAATCTTTTGTGATTTTTGTAATAAGCAATTGTATTCAAATTAAAATAGTAAACATGCATAAAACATAATAGTTAATATGAAATAGAAATAAATTAAAATGTTTTTTTTTATCTTTGATAAGATGGTTTTAAGTATAGTACAAATGATACACATTCATGTGTGCGTATTTAGTATGCGTCTGTATGCATGTAACACTAAATATTCTTTTTCCATACATACATTATAAATATAAATATAACAAATTTAGAATGAG